ATCCAGCAGCTTGAAGACATCTGCAACAGCCCTGGGGATGATACCCTGCTCCTCATCTCTAAAGGAACCTACAAACACAATTAGAAAACAAACTATTGGCAACAACTTGTTTGAGTAAAACTTGATTAGAGCAGTGTGTACTTTGTTGGACAAGACCAACTAATGTGCGATTGACTTTATGACCTTGAATAGTTTATAAAGTAAATCGCACATTAGTTGGTCTTGGACCAACTAAGGACTTAGCTGACAACAATTGAAGTGGACATTGGATGAAATAGATCAAATAAATCACTTACAGATATTAGCTTCCCCGATGGTGTAAGTCTTGCCTGAGCCTGTCTGCCCATAGGCAAACACTGTGGCATTGAAACCTTGAAAGAAGGCATCTATGAGCGGCTGAACAGACAAAGAGTAAACATCGTCTTGGCAGCAAGTTTCTTCAAAAAGGTAGTCGCAAAGAAAGTGTCTGTCGTGACCCAGAGTAACACGACACAGCTCTGAGTCCACGGTGATGCAGCTCTCGTGGCAGTGAAGAAGCTCTTTGGGCAGCAGGGGACGCACTCGGACAGCTACTTGAACTGCAGAATAATCCCCTCTGCCTTGGCCACTGGGAACCTTGGGAGACATTTCTGCTGCTCCGCTGAAGCTCTTCTGGATTCCTCTGCTACATGTGGATCATCTTAGTGGCAATGGATAGAAATCCTCTTTCACCAAATTCTTCGTCAACACCCCATGTTATCTGGCTGAATGATTTAAAATGGTTATATGTGAGAATGTGATAAATTAGAAAGCAATGAACAAAAGTAGCAGCTCAAAATTAAATGTAAAACCATATTCTAAAACACACTTTAACCTACAATAAAAAATGGTGATATGGATACATACTTTAATAATGAAAATTCAAAAATTGTATATATGATAGTAAATAGCCTGAAAAGAAAGGCGTTACTGATTTTGGTATTGATTAAATACCTGATAAATCAAGTTACTTCATCACATTGGTTTTTCTGTAGACCCGGCCTGCCTATTGCTTGACCTTGGTATGATTATGTTTTAAAAATCTATACCAAATACCAAATGTACAGCCTTACATTTTCTCACCTTCTAGATAATATGGCCTTTCTCAGTTGAAAACGTAATACTTTATAGGGATGTTTGCATGCATGTTATTGTTTAGACATACAGGGCATGTGTTTCTTTGGTTTCTATGAAGATACAGGCATTTCAAGGTTATGATGTTAATACCTGTAATGCAAATGTAACCCAACCTGGGAATGCCTAGCTTTTAAGCGAAAGATACATGTCAAAAAGACGTGAGGTTAGGTATACATTTTAGTTTTTTGCTTTGAAGAGGTGGCGCTGCATACATTTGCCTTATACAAACACACTTTGATATGCTTAATTATACGAAACATTAAATACAACTGAGGTTTCTAAAATATGGATTTAGATTTATTAAGTAATGGATGATTAGAAAACTGATGAGATGACTTAGCCTTATGCTAACGCTACTACACAGTGATATGTGAGACAACATAACTTTATATCAAACTCCTTAAGTTTCAGACTATCTTCCCGTTAGGAAAGCTTGTTTACTTTCACTAGGTTTCTTAACTTTACGTAAAAAGACGAACGCCATCATTAGATAGCATTTTTAAAACACCATGGTCCCATAAAGTTATTTTGGCCATGTTAGCAACTTAGATTACCGTTATCCACAAACACACACACATGGAGACTCTTTTCTTTTACTTGTAAGACATATTTTCAACAAATCTCCCACGGTGGTTTGCTCGCCTGTTTCCCAGATAACTTCAGCTAAGCTAAAGTTAGCAAGTTAGCCAGAAGTCCGAACAACAACATCAAAACATGGGGATGAGGCTGGATATCGTGCTCTAGAGGGGCAACTGAGATAAATGATCCCGTAAGAGATACAGCATGGACTGATGTGGTAAGACCTTACAACCATTAACAGTTCACACAACTTACTTTTTAATGTGGCAGAAATCACACCGCGGATTTAGGATAACACTGGAGTTTTTTTGGGAGTATGGAAGTTGAGGGGCAGTCAGGGGGGAGGAGCCCGAAAGTTAGAGCTGAATGTTGGGTGTGGTCTCCACCAGAAAGCATCATCGCTGCAGAGAGCCTGGTTGATCTTTTTAATAAAGTTTATTATTACACATACATTTACTAGCGAAAGTTAAGGATTGTTCCTTTAAGATTGTTCATCACAAACAAACGTAGAGAAATAGATGTGAAAATATTAGACAGAATTAATACAACAAAGATTATATTTCCTTTTTCTGTCTCCCTTAATAACAAATGTAGGCCTACTGTTTGCAAGACTGAACAAGATAGTATTTGTTTTATGGTTGCCTGCCTCTAACATAACATTTTAAAAATGTTCAAAAATGTTAATATATGAATAAGTGTGCAAAACAGCATATTATCAATTTTCAATACCACCACTTGTTTTGAATATGATGGAGACAATAACTTGTTAACTTTTTTTTCAAATGTTGTAAGATACATTTCAAATCATGGTTTAAAATAAATCAGCATTTTGACATGTCTTGTGTATCTTACCTTGAGCCCTCTGCAGGTAAAGTTCATAGAGAGAGACATCAACACTATGTAATGATGAATTGCAAAATAACTAAGATCACACACAAAAGGAGATATAACAGGAGTTTATCACAACCGCTGATTTCAAATAGCAGTGTCTTTTGTAATTTTCCGCACAAAGATTACAATATATTCTCTACTGAGTAGCAAAACACAAATTTTGGCCACTTTATGATGTCATAACGATGTTTTTGGCTATCGGCTAATGGTTACACAAGCCATTAGCTTATTACCTGAATCCTCCTTCCTTACTCCTGCACGTGTTGTCAAGTTGGTGAAGATGTTTCTTCATTTTCATGTGTTGGCAAATTTGTGTTTTTATATTTGCATTGTTTTTGAGAGTGCAGCACATTTCTCCTAATGTAAGTGTTTGCACCTGTCGGCCACCTCAGTCTATACTGTTTAAATATAACCCCTGTGTGTGCTTAACATATAACCCAGACTCAGAAATGTAATTCTTAATTTCAAGGCTTACACTTGCCATAACTTGAATATGCAATTTTTTTCTTCTGTGCATCTTCCTAACAACCCTAACCCTAAAAAGACAATATACATAACCAAGTATTGAACAGAGTAGAACTGGGCAGCAGGGGGCAGTGTAACATCATGGATTAAAAGTACACAGAACACACACAGGCTTTTTTTCTTTTGCAATGGATTTTAGATGTAAACACAACAATACATGTGCTCATTGATAATTGAATGTGCAGTATTTGTGTACAAAAACGTGATGTTTTATTGGTGCAAAAGCAAATCAAGTAATATATTTAAGATTTGAAAATGAGGTCCCATGTCCCAAATCCCGTCTTCGGTATAGCACAGGGAAGATTTGCTTTTCTGACCACATCAACTGTGGGCACTCTTGGCAGGCCTCTCTCCACTCACCTGCATGTCCACATTAAATGGCCCTCAGCCAAACTGGCTTTGGAGTCCTGTCTGCACTCTCAAGAGCCTCTGCAGACTCAGTCACACTCTCCTTTGTTCCATTAGACTTCAGAGGAGACCGAGGTATTCCCTTTCAAAAGTAAGTACCAGTGATAATCCAGCCTGCTGTCAAAGATAGTGTGCTGGTTTCTTATGACCGTAGCTCACAACTAGACTGAGATCAGGATATTGATTTCAGGCCTCGTACACACTGCCAGCACTCATTAGGATGGTTTTTATCTGTATGGTGTGACTCAGCCACATTGGCGAGAGCTGAAGAGAAAGGATAGTTGATGGAAATAGAGGAGTGGGGATAGAAGGAAGAGAAGGTGGATGTAATATGATAAGGTAGAGCAGGGAGGAAAAGTGAGGACAGTGAGTGAGGGGTTGTAAGGTGAAACAGCACAGTCAAAACACCAGATATGAGACCAGGGTCTATCAGGCAGACTTTCTGAGAGCCAAGTTTGTATTGATCTTTGTTATGTACCATGGCTGGATCTCACACAAGTAATGCAGAATAAAAACACATACATGATAAGCTGTAGATGATATGAAAAGGGTTGAATTTTTAATTTATGGGGGGGACAGGGGGTGAAAAAGTTAATCGTTAGTTCCTGATTCACCTCTACCTTAGTCTATTCCCCCATTAAAACAGAAGAGGCAGCAACAGAGGGAGAACAGTGAGATGTCTATTCTTCGGTGGTAATAAAGACAGCAGATTTTAATTCAGCTTGCAACCCTCAGTGACTGGCTGGCGTGAATCGTCTTCCATTCAGCCCTCTCTATTCAGCCATCACTCTCTGTCTGCCTCCCTATCTCTAAGCATCTTTTTTCTTCCCTCAGCTTGCAATCTCGTTTAAGGATCCCCCCGCCCCCAAGGCTGTGTCCTCTGCGAACCTCTGCCACAGTATGGAGCCCCCTTCTCCCACTAAAGACACCCTGTTTGTCTCCAGTGAACCTATACACTTTGCCTCACTGTGCTACAGATGCACTTCTGTGTGGTTTCTTTTTCCGACAGTTGTGTAACGCAGAGAAGTAGATGGCTCCTGCAGCACAGAGGTGTCACATTTCAGCACACTTCTCTAAATTGATTTTTTTCCAAAATATACACCTCCTCTCAAAGGGAAAATCATCACACGTACCTTAGCTGCTGGGTGAATGTGCATTTTTCTGTGTGTACTTGTTGTGCAAATTGAAACGTTGGAGTTATTCATGCACTGTAAGAACACAGTGGCTCTTTGAGCAGCCTGTCTTTGGCTTTCTGTCTGCTGAACAGCACCGCTCTGTACTGAGAGAACTGAAGTGTTTTGCAAAAAACCACAGCCCACATATATCACTGCTATATATATATAAACCATTTTCTTAACATTTTAGGCTTTGGCAAATAAAGAACTTTTAAAATGTTATGTGAGGTTTTAATCATTTTATTATAGATGTGTAGAACCAGAATATAAATAGAATATGATCGTAAATACAATTACAAAATCTTCACACGTCATCAATACATATCCAGCATACTTAACATTAATTTCAACATAGCAGAACTTTCTTTGGCAAATATAGCACTTTCCTTCAGGTTGGACTGAGTCTAATGATTTTTAACTGTTTGCTACAGTACATCATGTAATTAACCTTTTACAAATCATACTCTCATGTCTTTATTTGTGCAATAAATATGTTTCAGATCAGCAACAGCACACTAGATATTCACCATCCAATAAAGAGTCCTTGGCCCAATCCAAACAATGCTTTTGTTTGGCCTTTGTGCTCTTAGCGTGATTACAGGTTCTTCCCTATCTTTTTAAAACTCATACTGGGAAACAAACATTGTGACTTTGGTGATGTACCTCCCCAGCTGGACTCGTCTCTCCAGCTCGCTCATCTCAACGTCCGCCTCCAGCGTGGCAGGGCCCTGCACGGGGCTCACCAGCATCAGCTGACCCGTCAATCGGTCTGATCGCTGGACTGTGAAGTGCCGCCGGGTTAGCCTTCCCCCCAGCAGGGAGAAGCGAAGCGTGTCACCAATTGGACGTAATGCTGAGACCCTGAACATGACGCGAGGAGCCGACAGGTTGGACACAACAGCCAGGTAATGGTAGGAGAAGGAGTTTGGTGTCTGAGAACATGCCTTGTTGTCCAGAGCACAGGGGTTACGTTCACAACGCCTGGAAAAAGAGTTTATGTTAAATGATCAACCAAGATAATAATCAACCAAGTTATACTGTCAATGTTTGAAAGGTCCCATATTGTAAATATTTATCTGTTTTTTATTTGTATTTAAAAGCTGGTCATGGTGCTATAAAATACTGTGTAAGTATTGAATCGCTCAATCCAAATGCTCAGCAGCCAATATTCAGAAGCTGTGGCTTTAAACAAAGACTTTGGTAAAAACACAACAATACTATATATATGAAGAAAATACCACTGCAATGTTTTTAAGATTTTTTCCAGATTTCAATGACAGTGAATAAACAACAAGAGCGCAGATGCACTGACCAATCAGAGCAGAGTTAAATATATATTTTTGATTATCAAGGTTATTAATTATTACTAAAACCTCCTAATAGATCTCAAATGAAAACTAAATTCTTACAATGCCAGTGAACTTAGATGTAAAAAATGGTTAGGTAAAATGCTCACATAGGGGACGTCTTGACATATGTTGCATGAGGGATTTTTGGGCAGTCCACACGTACACACTGGAAGCCACCATACGTGTTAATGCACATCTGATCCTTTGTGCAGTTGTTTTGTCTGGTGGCACACTCATCAATGTCTGTGAAGAAACATCAGCATAGTAACACAATAATTAGACAGAAAAGTTGGTTGACATTTTATAATTTTTTGAAGTATCGTTTAAGTAAGTTTTGATGAGACTTTCTATATATTTTGAATAAAAGTAACCCAGAATATAGCAAGTATGATATATGTAAAAACGGGACAATATTTTTAATCTTAATAATTGTTAACAAATGTTTGTATTATATAACTGTTTTATGGATTATTTTATGTTGAGAGCAAATAAAAAAAGAAGAGAGAAATAAAAGGGAAACAGAACAGGAAAACACACCTTTACAGCTGCGTCCATCGCGGGTCCCATTGTATCCGACAGGGCAGGTACAGCGGTAGCCTCCAGCAGTGTTAACACAAGAGTGTAAACACAGTTTGCCAGCCTGACCATTATGGAACAGCTCACATTCATCTATATCTAAAAGCCAACAATGCAAACAGTTAACATCTCACAAGGAGACATACATGTATGGTTTAGTCACAGCTTGGGCAGGTGTTAGTCGTACCAGTGCAGGTGTTGCTGTCCCTGCCAGAGATGGTGTATCCTGCCTCACAGGTGCAGTGGGTGGTCCCCTGTATTATGCTGCAACGTGATGGACGAACAAAGGGCCCAGTGGTGGCAGCAGGCAGGGTAACAGCAGCAGCGGTGGATGGGGAGGTGGCGGCAGAGGTGTTTGTCATGGTGACAAAGACTGAATGAGGGGGACAGGAAAAAGGAAAGGTAAGCAGTTAAAGATTGGGTTTTCCTTCCCTGATTCGCCTCCAATCAGCATATGGAAATGATGGAACTTTTAATGTATTCACACATAGGTTGTCATATTTTTTTGAGCTGGGCTAATAGATAAGCTGCACTTATATTACAGTGTGAACATTACATAGTTTGTCCACTAGAAAAGTTTAGTTTTCAACTCTCCCACTTTGCACTGTACATAATATTGTCAACATTATTCACAAAATTAAAGGAATCCTTTCAGCAAAATGTTTGGATGAACTTTGGATTTATGTGATAGAATATCTTACTGTCAATATTGATATCAGCTTCAAAAATCCAGTACAAAAAGAATAAATAGAACCTCAGTGATCTAATGAGCAACATAGAATTCTGAACAGTAAATTAGCGCGGTGATATAACATGAATGGAGATGAACAAAGTCAAGTTCAGAGATTCACAGTCCCCCCACTCACACCAAGAAGCAGACCAGACTCTGAACCAGCATCGTCTTGGACTTCAGGATGTAATTCATTAAAACACACTTGGTGGTATGTAGCAATGGCTTGTGTTGGCAAGCCAAACCCACAGCCAATATAATCCCCTTTAGTAGACTAGGAGGATTTGAATCCTAGCATAAAAACATATGCTCTGCAGTAAAGTTTTGTCTTTAAAATGTAAAGTTTTTGTTACATATATCATCCATTACTATGGTATGAACATATTTGAAGGAACCTAACCAAACTTCAGGTTTTAAGTGGAAGTTGGTGAAGCAAAAGTACACCACCAACATGTGACTGTGGTCTGAGTATGAACTGTATTATACCCACATGTTGGCAGAGGGCTCTGACAAGTAGCTCCGGTCCAGCCTTTGGCACAGATACAAGAGAACTGGTTCACCTCATCCACACAAGTCCCAGCGTTCAGGCACGGAGACGACGCACACTCATTGATGTCTGGGGGTAAAGACATACAGGAGGGTTATACAAGGAGACTCCATTGCTACATTTAATATTTTTGGAGGCGATACAAGGACATCTGGAACTGAATATCTTTGATGCTGAAGAGTGGGTGACATCTTGCATGTTTAAAGAGTGAATACGGCTCAAATGGAGCAGATGAGTTAATGTTAGTGTAGGGTTATCCCTGCTCTTGATCAAACAGCCTTTGAGCTGTTATCTTAAAGTCAGCGAGCTGTCAGAGGACATAGAGGTTAGAATATCTTATGTCAAGGCATTCAATGAGCTCTCTGGACAACAGCCAGAGTACATAAAGAGGAAATATGATCATGGGTCACATATGAAACGTATCTCTACATAGAAAAACGTTGGTGACATGCATGATGCACAAAAAGAGGAATGGCAAAAGAGAGCATGAGGGCAAGGTTACAAAAGGACGATGACAGGGTTGTTAAAGTGATCATAGGGTTAGATAACAGGATGAGTGATGGTCAGGGTGAAGAAGAGGAGAGACATGGTGGAAAGAGGATGAGGAGGAGGCAGTGAAGACCAGCCAGGGAGCAGAGGATCAGCGCTAGTCTCTCACCCCGGCAGGTAGCCTGGTGGCCGCTCCAGCTCAGGCTCTCCTGACAAAACCGGCTCTCAGATCCCACAAGTTCATAGCCAGGGTCACACAGAACGTGAACCTCATGACCTACGCTGTGGGACTTGCCAAGCTTCCTCCCATTGATTGGCACGTCAAGTTTGGGGCAGGTACCTGAGAGGAATAAAAAAACAGAATGGCAGATATTTCAACAACTTCCATTTGAATGCATTCATGTTTCTGAGGGTTTTACTTACTGTTGGTGGCTCTTGTACTCTGCTTTCCAGCACTGCTCTGCAACAGGTTTATTTTCTTTTTCAGGTTGCGAAGGCTCTGCATGTATGTGGCTTCATGGGCTGAGAGAAGTTTCTGGACTTGCTTCAGAGAGCCATGCAATTCCTGTCTACCAGGGCAGTCCTGGAAAAAAACAGAGAGGATGACTAAAGTAATAAAGTGCTGATTATCTTTCACAACAACTTCTTCAAAGCTGTGAATTACCTCACAAGACCAATCGATGTTAGAGTATGAAATATAAAATGTAAAGTATTGACACATACTGTAATTCTATGCATAATTTCATTCAATGGGTTTTATCTGATACGATTTAGATTTTAGTTTTTAGGAGGTTATTGCCTGCTCTTTTACTGAATTGATGAATACATAACGTTAGTTAAAAATACATCTTTCGACATAAAAGATTCGGGACTACGAGCCAGTGATTGAATTGATGTATGTTCTTCCCATTCAAGACTCAAAATTATGTAACAGATTTTAACAACAAAACTATCTTGATTTTTTTGATTGTTCAGACTTTCAAAAAGCTGTCACACAATCTGAATCACACTCAATTATGTGGCAATTTCTTTCTTTGCACTTTTATTTATGATTTAAATGATTCAGCAACATGGTCACATCACATAAATTACACTGCCTGGTTTTTTATGTCTGCAAAGTGACAAATACTGAATGGGCATCACCTTCAACTCCTATGAATACCTGAGGTTAATTAAAAGTACTCCTTGAGAAAAAGGTTATGGTCCAAAATAAGCAGCTCCACACTGCATGTAAACAAATGAAATTCTGCTGAAGGAGTCCCTTGAAGGCCTGTGCAGAGGGCGACAGAGGCTGGGCTGTTATACGAGCGATTAAACGCTGCAGGATCAGAGCATGTTTGGCCACTGTAAGCATTTGCAAGCAGGAACCTCCTTCTCTCAAAGCTAGATACTGTAACTCAGTTATAAAAACAGAAACACTCTCTTAAAATTGTGATGTGGTTTTTAGGTGTGACCCCGCATTGATGTTTAAAGTGGTCATCAGATAAACCTATGTAACTTCCATATGTCATTTAGGTGGTTTCAGGGTTCGGGGGTCAGTCAGTCGGGTATAAACGCCCTCAGCATAAACATCACCTGTGTTACAACCTCTCTTTCTATTGGCTGCTGGGGCGAGGGAGTGGCACAGACTTGTTTGTCCTCTTCAACTGCGTCATTCTACGCCCTCTGCCCTGCCCCCTTACGTATGTTTTCAGACAACCAATTAGTGTTTGCGTCCAGCCAGGGTTATGTAAGAAGGGTCAATATTTGTTGAAAACACCTTTCTGATTTCGACAGAACTGGGGTTTGGCGAGGCTTCAGTCAGCCGGGAGGGGAGGCTGGTGTTTATAGCGTAGTTGTCAAAGGCCTCTTTCTGCCTGTGCTCAGCGGCATTTCACATGGCTTCATGTTAACTTGGTAACAGTGTGTATGAGGCACTGGAGCGCAAGATGACAGTAGGACTATTAAATATAACCAAATGATCAACTTTAATGCTTTTGGTTCTGTTTGTTTGTCTGTGTATCAGCAGCATTACTGAAAGAAATACCGCCCAGATCTTCATGAAACTTAGTGCAAAGTTACATTCGGAGCGGATACTGCAGTCAGCATGTCGTTGTGTCCCTGGGCAAGACACTCACCCCAAATTGCTCCTGTGGGGATTGCCCACAGTATTGAGTATGAAAGTCGCTTTGGATAAAAGCATCTAACAAGTGACATGTAATGTAATGTAATATGAATCACATAGCAGATACATACATTTTTAAAACTTTAAATAACATTGAAAGATGCATTTGGAGGGGTTCTGCGCCCTTTCAGTTGAATGTGCAACAACTTTAGCTTACAGTCATACCTAACCATCCCATATTCTACAACATGCTGGCCATCTCTCAGTAACACACATGCACAGACACAGACATGCATGAAACGACCTAAAAGCAGTCATTCACAAGCAGATCTTGCTTTATGGAAACATTTAACAGAAACACTACATACAGTATATTTAGTATATTAATTAAATTGAGCCTCTGGGGGCTTGTTCCTGAGGCTTGCATACAATATGAAAGCGACCCAAGGTGTGATCTCTCAAAAAATGTATGAATGAAGCCAAGCAGTTACATTTACAGAAAGATTTGTTGTAAGGTTACTCATATCTGTCATTTTTGTCTTCTGTCAGCAATTGGTGAGGCTTTAAATGTATTTAACTGAAATAATATCCTTAGATATAGCTCCACTGCATTAGCCTGAGACATTGAATCACTCACCTGTCCAAAAGTAGGGTGTAGCGAGCAGAAACACAGCAAGGTGATGACAATCGGAGCAATCATGATTCCACTGATCCCAATCCAACTCACAGTCGACGATCAGTCCTCACATGTGGAAGAAGTCGCAGTGCTGTGAACTCTGAGTGCGTGCAGGGACTCCAGGTCAGAGAATGACCAGAGTGAGCAGTTGGAAAAGCTGCTCTCGAAAACCACTGAGGAATGTTGAGTTTACTCTTCAGGAGCCAATCAGGGAAAAGAGTGTTTAAGAAAAATGCGACCACATTTTATCCTTTTACTTAACTTGGTGCGCACTTCCTCTCCAGTCAGGGCAGCTTAGTTAATATCTTGTTTATAGAGAAGTGAGAAAACAGAGCTCAACAAACAAAGCTCTGGATCATGTGTGATTTGATAATTATGATTTTTTGATGTTTTGTGATGTTATTATTTGCCTGTTTACAGCAATAGTTTTTTTTGTAAACATTAGATTAAATGTAGCAGTTAGACAAACAATACAAATATTGTAGAAACATTTTCTATCCAAGTTCTATCTGTTTAAATACAATTTATCATCTAACTAATCTGAAAAGGATCTGTCAGTTCAATTTGAAATATGAATGCTGTTTTTGCGACCTTTAATCAACACTATGTTGACATGTAGAGAAGCTAAGCTGTGCCCTCTACAGGAATATCTTAATGCATGCATCCCTATACTGTTTATGAGCTTGGCTGAACAAAATAAGACACATGCTTCTGAGGTTATAAATGTAAGGGTCCACATACCTGACATGTCCAAATGATTATGATCAGGGCAGATATTACTATAGGAGTCAGGGAATAAAAATGATATGTGAAGATGACTGGTACTAAATATTTATTTTCCATTTATATATTATTACTGAAGGGTGCTTACACTGGAGATATAAACCTGTAAAAATCAACAATACCTTACTAAATCTACCATATTCCACCGCTATATGAATAAAATAATACCCAGCTGCTTTTTGCTTGTTGCAACTCTTTTGTGCGCATATGTAATACAATTTCTACTTCTTTTTATAAAATACTGCAAAGTTGCAATTGAGAAATATTTATCAGGTAGTCAAGTCCCATCTGTTTGGACTCACAATACCACAAAGTAAATATTATATGGCTTCAAAATAACTTTTAAAGTTTCATTCTGCAAGATGTCTAAATCATCAGCATCTCAACTTCTACAGGGTACAAAGGAACTGCAATCGCATCGATTTTTAAACAGACAACACCGCCTTTTTGGAAAACCAGTTAATTTAAATTGAATGGTAAATATGAGAGTGAGTTTGAAACTGAAGTATTGCTGCTGTAGAGAAATAATTTAGTGTGTAGATGGACTTCTGTCCTGAGTGCATTCAGCAGACACTGCTGCAGTTCAGAGAGTAATGTGGAGACTCAGGCTGAAGCAGTGAGGAAGCTTACAGTGTTCACCTGAGAAATCATCTCAGTGGGTGACCGAGTCAGACTGAGCCCAGAACAGTCTGTGTGCAAAGCTGTTGTTTGGCTCAGCAGGGTCGGACAGTACTTTACTGATGCAGCAAAATCAAGGAGATAAGAAAAATCTGGGCAGCCAGGGGACTCAAATACATTGAGCCCACAGGGCAGAGAGACGAGTGGGAGTCCATTGTGTTGCTCTGCAGTCATCTCCAGACTCTGAATCATCAGTGTGCAAAGCACGATTCATACTTTACACACTGGATGCATAAAAAAACATTGTCACCAGGTTTAAACAGATGGCCGGGAGCTCTATCCTGTACCTCTCACAACTATCTTATTATTATTATGTACAATTACATTTCTGCCATCATGCTCAATTCCCTCTTAAAATAAATATCACAGACTCTGCTTTGATTAAAAGAAGAAATCCTGCACCTCAGCCAGGACATATAGAAATAAAGCGTTGGAAGTGATTCATTGATGATGGACATTGGTCTCTCAAAACAAACCTCCCCTCTTTTAACAATCATAAACACTATTGAACAAGAGTTAAGCTCGCTTTTGTTATTTAGTTTAGGAAATGATGACAGAGATGATTAAGCAATGCATTTTGTCATCAATGACTGACTGGCACTTTTCACACATGATTTTTGTGGTGGATAGTATTTACTTTTCAATGTAGAAATACACTATTAGCATCTCAAAACCATACTATTATAGTGGTTTTGAGTAATTTATTTTGCATATTGTCCTACTTTATAAAACTCTAGATACAAAGTTGTCTAAATGAATCAGTGATAATAATTTTACTAAATCATATATGATTTAGTAAAATACAATTTTATACAGCTTAATGGGGTAGTTTTTGTGTCAGGGACACAAAATGGCACGTTTTCATAGAATGACCCATATGATGTCTTAAATGTAACTCTTTAATAGCTATTCAACATTTTAAATGAAAGACAAACTTAAGGTGTATGCCATGACCGTATTCTGTGATGTAAGCGATATTACATCGTAATTAAAGAGATTACGAAATTAGCTCTCTTAACAAGCGTCTAAATGTGTTGTGAAAAGCATAATAAATACATCTTGGTATAATATGTTGTGGTTTTTGCCTAGCCTCCATTATAATGTTTATGATTCATTGTTCCTCCTCGTGCATCATGTTTGCACACATGCACTGCAACACGTGCACAGATAATTTGCGTTAATGTTCCATTGTTAAAGACAATTAAGTATGGATTTGCTTTCCCAAAAAGAGGGATAATGATTTAATAAAACGTTAAAAGGTTAATTACGCTGTACCGTGAGTCTGCTTCAAGGATGATACATGTGCTCACCGCTGCAGCCCGGGGTGATGAGGTGAAAAGAGGGAGGAGGAGCGGAGGGAGGATAAAGCCGAGGGCCGAGGGGTCACTGTAGTCGGAGATACTTCAGGAGTTCACAATGCGGTCTGGAACCGCGTTCCGGGGTTTGGATCTGTTGGTCGCGTTGTCTCTCCTGCCACAGGTTATTTTCGCGAACCGGATTATCAAAGACACACCGGAGCCCCTGAAGCCCACCATCACCGGTAAACACACTTTAGCTGTGCGTGAGGCAGGTGGCCACGAGGGACCGTAGCCTACTGTAGACAGTAGACCTCGTAGTGCAGGATGAGCTAGCACGTAACATGTTGACTTAAATGCAAACGTGGAAAAAGTACTCAGAGAGTAGGAATAGCTATGTTACAAGTAAAAGTCCAACAATCAAACTGTGACTCAAATAAAAGTAGGCCTATTGGCATCAAAATATACTTAAAGTAGGCTACCAAAAGTAAAAGTACTCATTATGCAGATTGGCCTATTTCTAAATAATATATGTTTTGATCATAATTATTGATGCATTGCATTAAAGTGTTATCAAAGCTGGTAAAGGTGTAGCTATAGTTTAATAACTTTGTATACTGCAGGGTAGCTTGTGAATTTTAATCCAGAACTAAAGTCTTATTTAAGTGTTGTTTATATTTTTACATTATTAATCCAAATCTGCAAAGTAGCTAAACATAGTCAATAATTGTAGTGGAGTAAAAGTAAACAATGTACTTCTGAATTGTAGTGTGACGTACAAAGTAGCAAACAAATTGGAATACTCAAGTAAAGTACAAGTACCTCATAATTGTACTTTAGTACAGTATTGAGTACATCTACTTATTTACTTAAAGTTTACACCATGCCTAAATAGTTTTCCCTTGATGTAAGTCTATTTTAACTGATAGCAAAGCATGTTTTAAGTGTTTGTTTAATGTTTGCCATCAGGTTGCAATCCTTTAAGCTGTAGACTCCAGTGGGTTTTCTAAGCTGTCTCAATCCATCTGGCAAAGCACCAGCAGCCCCACTTTTCTGTCACTGCCTGCTGTGCTACAGGAGTTTGGCATCAGTTGAACAAATTACCATTTTGAAGGCATTTTGCCAAACCCAAGGCAAAATGATTAACCTATCACTGGGGAGCCAAATCTCTACTCTTTAACTTTTGGAAGAAGTGCTAAGGGGTAATAAGTAATATAAGTAACCTTTAACAGTAAGTTTGATCAAAGAAGATCACTGCCTATTCCTAAATGTTATTATTCCATAATCTGCCTCTACATGAATGATTTAAGAATGTTGGGCTCAATTAAATAGTATAGGCTTTATTGTGCATGGTCCCCAAGATCTCAAGGTTTGAATAACACTTCAACTGATTTATGCGAAGTATGAAACTCATTTATTGAAGAAATGTTAAGTCATAAGTAATGTAAAGTAGAAATGAAAAAGAGTTTTGATTCAAAGTTTTGTCTTAACCCAACTGACCCTTGAGTTAAATTGTGACTGAAGCTGTGACAAACTGTATTAACCCATGCTCATGCTCTCTCACACACACACACACACACACACACACACACACACACACACACACACACACACACACACACACACACACACACACACACACACACACACACACACACACACATTTGCATTCCGTTGCTATGGCGACATCAGTAAAGGCATCGTTGCTAAATGAGCGTTTGTGCTTCCTTGCAGGGCTCGGGGTGAAGGAACACTCAAAGATTGTTGCCCAACACAATAGACTGCGCAGCCGGGTCAACCCCATGGCAGCTAACATGCAAAAAATGGTTTGTGGCATCCATTGTCTGTCTCTTCTGTGTGAGTTTGAATGGCAAGAATGCTGTCACATACATTTGAGTTGAGTTATTATGTCCATTATGCTGTTTCTCAAACCAAAGTTTAATCTTCCTCTGCAACACAACACATTAGAATTAGAATTCTCTCTCTCTCTCTCCCTCTCTCTCCCTCTCCCTCTCACACGGTACTAGTGGAAGATATCTAGCCATGTGTAGCCGACTTAACCAATATTTGACATACATTATTTAGCAGATACAGTGCAAAACTTAGAGAAAAACAGTTATGATGATGATGATGATGATGATGATGATGATGATGATGATGATGATGATGGTGGGAGTAATTATCAGACATATGTTTTGTAAGGATGTGAAACCCTGCTGAAGATCTGACTTGCAGCACCAAAAAAACATGTTTGTAAAGTTTTTTAATTTAACTACACCAGGTACACTAGCAGCATAGGCTAAGCACAATGGTCACAATGGTCTTCCTGTGTGGTGCCGATAGTCCCAACAGAGTAAAACAGTAATGAAGCATCATTTTAAATCCGCTCAGCTGCAGGTGGAGTGATGGTGTGGAGAGTCAGAACTGGGTCAAAATCTATTAGCAGTGGGTAGTCTTGTTAGTGTTGCAAAGCATAATTATACCAATTCATGTTTAAACACACAATAGGAATAAATTAAGAAACACCTTCAATTTGTTAGCTTCAGATTATCAACAGCTACAGTTCTGAATACAAATTGGCTTTCATGAAGTTGAGAGTGATAAAAACTGTGTGTTGCTGAGTGTGCAGCATAAATATTAATCTTTCACTCAGGTTTTTCTAATCCCACTCTCTGCAAAACACAGCAGCTGCAGTAAATCCTCTCCATATCTTTCCCATCTTGCTTCGCCATACGGTACTTAACTGCTCAACTGACTTGGTTGCATGTGATTATGATGAAGAGGTAATGATGGATTACTAATGTCACAATGCTCTAGATATCCTTAGGGTCTAACATGAGTTTTGTAACAGGGCAAACTGTCACTTTGTCATAGATTATATCCTCAAAGCCACCCATACAGACCGAGCTCTCTTTCTACGACTGCTCTTCAGCCTCAGAGAACTATTCCCACCTGATAAGGCAGTAATGAGAAAAAGAGGATGTGGATAATCATTCTGCATTCACAACTCTGGTATTACCGGTAATTTCCCTCAGAGGAAGGTTCGTCGAGCTGAAGAGGCATATTAAAGAGCTTTACTGATAAACGTTAAAAGGCTCAAGGCTTCGGCTGTGTTTTTGAATGTTTGGATTAGGGCTTTTTTTCACTCAGGAACGAGCCAGTTAGCATTGTGGTGAGATTGTGCTGAAGTGATTATAATATAGACCTTTAGGCTTTTCTTTCAGGGGAAGATAAAATACCAATATTTAAGGAATGAAGGACGCCTCTTCCTTTCTTACCCGATGCCCTGTCTGCAGCTTTTCTTTGAGCTCTTGAGGAAGTATTATGAGGTCATACAATCGCTTTAATACATACAAGTTCAGTATTTACTTTTGATATGCAAGACTTGACCTTTGTTTGTTAGATTAGTATTTTATTAATCTCTTTTATTCCGATAAAGCTCCAACGATTTATTTAAATAATAAAGAAAAACACATAATTATGGAGCTGTAGTGATTTAGCTATTTTGGTAATCAACAATAAAGCAATTGTCTGTGGTTCCACAAAAAAAGCGCATGAGGGTATAAACTATCATTTTCTTAGTGATACATTCAAATCCCACAGCTGATAAGACTTGACATGCCTTGAAATAAAATGTCTGAAATTAAGTATTGCCCGGTGACCTCTGCTGACATCAAATTATGGGTCTGTCACTTAGGCTGGCTGACATCAGAGAGCAGAGTGAACAATCAACTTAACGGGCTCATCGTGTCTAAGACATACGTTTGTCTCTGACCTCTGATTTGTATCCTCCAAACCAAAAATAATTGTTTGATTAGATGATTTCCTTCTAAAACAGAGCCTCATTTATCAAGAGAGGGTAACGGCCCGTCCACACACAGGCATGAAAAAAATCTTTCAAAGCTTCGCCCATTCACTTGAATGGGGTGACGTAGAAGATTTTTAATCTTCGCCGAACTGCATTGTGGGGAGCGGAGCATGGCTTTGCCATCATTGTGAGCATCAAAAGTTGAGCAATGTTCAACTTTTGATACTCCCGATGCTTTCGAAGCTGGCATCAGCCAATCAAATCCCGTTTATGCAAATCCCGCCAGTACAAGCGCTAGCCAATCAAACCGCGTTTATGCAGATACTGCAGGTCTTTTCCATATGTCATAAAATGGAGGATAAATGAATCATCGCTGTAGGAAATGTCCCGGTCCTTTACGACTGCTCTCTGTTCACCTACCGGGACCTAAACCGGAGGAACCAGGCATGGAGGGAGGTGGCAGAGACAGTTGATGAAACTGGTAGGTTTTCACCTGTTTGGGGAGTTTATATCCAGTTTACTTCATTTTAACATTGAATGGACATCAAGATTTTTTTCATGCCTGTGTGTGGACGGGCCGTAACACTTTCTAATAAGGCATAATTTATAAAGGGTTAACAAGAGGTAACACATGTTTCACTACACTCATGGTACATGCTGATCATCAACAGGTAAACATTTTTCCCAGACTGTGNAATTGCAATGAGGGAATTAAACATTGTATTATTTAATAACACTAATATTTCCTATAAAAGTAATTTCCTTACTTTGACAGTTTACTAAGTAATGCCCAAAAGCATGAATACAAAACCACACAGTCATAGTAAAATTCTATTCACCCATTTATTTAAAGGTCACCTATCATGCAAAATCCACTTGTTCCTGTCTTTTATACATAAACATGTGTGTCCTCTGTGTAAAGAGATTCTGAACGTTTCAGGAAAAAAGTTTCACTCACTTTTTGTCCTGATCCATTTATATAAAAACCTGTCTGAAAATGAGTTGATCAGATTTTGGCCACTTTATGATGTCATCATTTCTTTTGGGCTTGTGTAACCATAAGCCAATCAGCAACCAAGGTAACCCCCACCTTATCACCTGAATCTCCTCGTAGAGCACCATTGTGTTCTTTTTAACCAGATATCTCTCAGAGGGGAGTGGGGAGTGGCTCCTTATTTTCATCTAAAGTAACAGACAGAGAATCAGCACATTTGAAATAGGTCTGAAACAGAGGGGATTAAGGGAAGCTGCAATGATCTGTTTGGTATTTCGAGCAAAACACTTCAGAGACATGTTTGTATATATCTGAGACCTATAATATATTGATGAAAGACTGTATAATAGGGGACCTTTAATACATCATATTTTCTAAAGGGTTAATAAGCAGTAACAAACTTTTCTTATGCTACATCCATGGTACATACTGACCATCAACAGGTACACATTCTTCCCAGACTGTGGAGCTGCTGGGTTCAACAATTCAACTGATTCCTGAATGAACTCTGAGTACATGTATAGCAACAAAAAACACCATTTATCACGCTCTGCAGTGAAGAGACCATAGGGATATCAACCCTCCATCAAACTCCCATAAAGACAAGTTGACCCCGTAACATTTTAAAGTAATAGAGCATTACTGGGAACTGCATTGAGGGAATAAACAGTTTAATCTATGTAATTACACTAATATTTACTATGAAAGTAATTTCCTGACTTTGACAGTTTACTAAGTAATGCTACTGCCCAACTTCATTAATACAAAACCACACATTCTTAGTAATATTGTATTCACCCATTCATTTAAAAATATGTGTTTATGAAAGTGGTACCCAAGAGAGTTTCAAACATAAAAACATGTTATTACAAAAAATGAAACTTTTTAACTTGAATCTGTGACTTTCCACCGGTGGTTGCCTTTCCTAGTAGTGAGAGCTTACCTCAATGTGATGTTTGTACTACAGCAAATATGGCAGAGTGATTGATTGTGGAAAGTTTGTGTGTTGTTTATTTGAATTAACCACTGCAAATCTTGGAAAATGTGCCCCATAGTGAGGTGTTTTTACCAGTGTAGCACGCAATGGGCGTCAGTCAGTGTTTGTTGGTCCTGCACTGGTAGTTCGCCCAAGGTGTCTCCCTGTCTGTTGTCTGCTGGACTCGAGGTCTGGCTCCGACCCCTGAAAAGGATTAAGCGGGTAAAGAAAATCACTCATGCACTATTAGGAATGACCTTCATGCCAAAGCGTTTTTCCTTTCATCCAGATTTAATCATATTTGAAGTACAAAATGAACTTCATTTCGGTTTTAAGATGCAGCTCCGAGTCGAACAGACCTCAATAACATATTTTAATACTGAATAAGGTGATGGAAATATCCTATTAGAATAGAATAGAATTGGAGGGATGAAACCCCTCTTTAATGGTCACACAGAGCACACAGCACACACAGTGACATCAGGCCTCTGCATTTAACCCATCCTAGTACCAGAAGCAGTGGGCAGCTATTCTACAGAGCCCGGGGAGCAATGGGAGTGGGGGGGGGGGGGAAAGGGGATGTCCGGTGCCTTGCTCAAGGGCACCACGGCAGGGCCCAGGAGGTGAACTGGGACCTCTCCAAGCAGCAGTCCACACTCCATATTTAGGTCTGTTCGGGGAATTGAACCGGCGACCCTATTGCTGATTGTTGATGTTATTGATTATGAATCATTCACTAACATACGTATTACATGTTTCATTATATATGTGGGGTTAAACTAAATCAGAATTTCTTTTTTAAACTGTAAAAACTAATGTCAAACCATTTTGTTGTACCCCGATTATGAAAATGATAGAGCAAGATTTAAAACGTTTAAATCAAAAACATGGTAAGCTTCTGAAACACACAGATACTTTTTTTTAACATTTGCTTTTTTTTTTTAAACTACAATCAGTGTCAGTCTGATTTGATCTTCCCTGTGTGCATGTACAGTAGGATACTGCCAGAGAAGACATTAGTATAACGTATTCCTTTGAAGGTTTTTACAGTAATTGTTGGGAATCAAAGATGTTTTTATGATATTAAATATTATTTTTGTCTTTATAGGAATGGAGTGATAAGTTGGCCTTACTTGCAAAGGACAGGGCGGCATCATGTCACACAGATCCTCCTGATCAACAATCCTCGCCTCTCAGTCACATCGGCTGGAACACACACCTCTCTGCCCACCGTGGTCTCACTTCAGTTTCTGATGCCATACACTCCTGGTTTGAAGAGGGGAACGATTTTCTTTACCTGAGTGGGCAATGTAGGGAGAACGCCACATGTCAGCACTATACACAGGTATTAACAATAAGATACAAGCTGTACACATGTTTGTCAGAGATTCTCATAATTGTGTTTTTTCTTCAATAGTACTAATGTTGTGTGCCTGACTGTGTGTCCCTTTGTTGTTGTGTAGTTGGTGTGGGCCACATCGAGTCATGTGGGCTGTGCCAGCCAGCTTTGTCTGAGGGAAGGAGACCTCTGGGAGATGTTTGTCTGCGCATATTACCCTGGGTAACAATGACACACTTTATCAACCTAAGATGAGATTGTTAAATTCATCTGAGAATTGCGTGGTAAAAAAATAAAGCCAATACTAAGGGTTTTATCTGCCATCCAGCTCAAAATCATTATGCTCTTGAAAACGGCAATAATTATATCAAAGGCTACTTTTCAGGGTATTTTCTTGGCACATACAGTTAAAATGAACTATTATGTAACACTACCTATGTGAAGGCCTCAAAAATGTGATTATATATATAATAATAATGGGTTTCATTTATAAAGCACTTCATATTTGACTTCAAATCTGATGCGAGATTGCGTGGGGGGGTGGTTTGGGATGTGGGGAATAGTTATTTGGGTAGTTTCATGCAGTTTGATAAATCGCACTTCTCATTATTCCTTGACTTCAAACCCCGGAAGTGCTACCAAGACAATGAGCCATCCGAAACACGTATAACAAAATTTAAATTGAAAATGTATATATATTACATCATTTTTAAACATCTTCTTTTCGACTTTGCCCCCATTCGCACGAGGCTCCTACGTCTGTGCTGCTGACTGTGTCCCATATTGTTGCAGTGTTGTGTATACTCTGCTGTTGCTGCAGGGGGAACTGGGTAGGCTGAACGGCGTCCCGCCACTGTCCACTCCCCTATAAGGACGGGGCTGACTGCTCCCTCTCTGCACCTCTCAATGTCCGCTGCTTCAGACTGTGGGACCTCATGTTGGTGGATTATTGTGGTAAGACAATATATAAAGTTAAGGGTGGTACAGAGGCACATTTTGCTGTACAAGTGATGTCTCTGCTAAGAAATGTAATAGGCAAGGACATTCCACATTGATTAAATGCAAGCCCTTGAAACAGACATGCATATATAATGTAAGGTGTTTTAAAAAAACAGTTTATGAATAATACTATTATTTATTACTGTAGTTATGTCCATTATGCTGCTGATATTACATTTCGCACATTAACAAACCAATGTGTTTAGCAATTGTTAGAAGTGGCAAATTTGAGTCCAATTCAACAAATGATGACAGGTGTGCCCATGTAATATTTCTGCTCTATGAAAGATCTTTTGTTCAATGTTTTTGTGCCAGATACGCAGTTTTTTGCCATTTATAAAGTATTTTGGTGATTCCAACTGGTATCTGGCCTTTATATCAGAACAATAATCACAGATACTGCGGCAATGATGGTTAACCAATATCGATCTAATGTAACCACTCCATATGCTTTTATTTGTAAACGTGCATATTTGTGTTAATGCAATATTTTTGGGGTCAGTAGATTACCCAAATGAATTCCGTGTCGAAATGAGCTGCGGTCAGCACGGCCATCTTAAACATCTCTTCCTGCAAGTGCACGTGTGACCGGGCGTTCACCGGACGCCTCTGCCTAGGGGTACCACTCCATCAACATCAAACATAGTAAGTATCGAGATAATACTTTATTATCCAGGTTCATTAAATATGTATGTTTTCCTGGTCTGTTCAAAGTCGAGTGGCCGATTTTCACTGAACTAAGGGCTCTGTCTTTCAGTGCGTGCAGTGGTGCAGTGTGTGCACGGTCGTTTCAAAGAAGACAAGAATGCTCTTGCTTGTTGTGATGTTGGCTATGGTGGTGCTGAGTGTGCCAGGTGAGTGCAGTGTGCCTCTGTTGCTGTTTTTCATATACCTCAGCAGTGTTACCCTGAGACGCAGGTTTCAAGTTCACAAGCATCAACAGGCCAGAACAGTGCTGAGTATAAGATCCATTCCTGCTTGCTGCC